AACAATAGAAAAATGAACACGTCTCTTTTAAGTTTAACTTCCGCGTCATACCAATTCATATTATAAATAGCTTCAGCTAAAGAATCATTCTATAATTAAATCGATTAGTTTCTTTTTTGTAATAACTTATTTTATAATTACCGCATCAATAATAAATTGTCCAATTGTGTTACATATCGTCAATATTATTAAGTTTATAACAACATTTATAAACAAAAAATAAAAGTTTTAGATGAAACGTATCTAAGTACTAACCAAAGCAAAGGCAGAGGCAATTAAAACAATTAAACCAACAACACAAAATCGTTGTAACACAATTACTTTTCCAAAAATTTTGCAATAAATATGAAGTAGTCTAAAAACCTCTTGATGATATATCATAATATGACGAAGTTTTACACTTCTCTTGTCTCCAATTTTAAATTTAACTTGATTTACTAACACTGTAACATGCCTTAGACGAATTATAATCAACTCAAACATGTACACAGGCATAGCTACTCCTTCTATAATGAAATTGAAAGTTGCAATACATAAAAACAATTCTTGTACAACCAAAAATCCTTCCAACCATGGTTGTAATTCATGCGGAATATAATAATTAAAGAACAAATAACACGTATGCGGATTGTTATTAAAACAATTCTTCCTCAATAATACTATATTCCAAAAAACTATATATCCGTATGGAACATAACGGGCATATTTGAAAACGTTTTTAACGAAATTGTCAATAAAACGGAGCTCCGTTGGAATTCCAAAACGATTAAAATTGCTCAAATTATTCATTAGAATTATCAATTTTCCCCTTTCATTAGTATATGACAAAGCTATCAATAATAAATTTGTATGCATTAAAAATATAAAATATCCAATAAATATGATGAGAAATCTAGTTGAGGATCTTAAAAAATATTAACGCATTTTAAAATATTATCGTTATTTTATAAAAACTTACCATTTAATTTTTGTATGATCGGAAAAATAACCCACTCTAAAAATATAACAAGACGTAAAATCAACCTATTTTTATAAATTGCTGTAAAAGGCGAAGCATGACTTTGATTAAAAGAATTTTCAATTTCAAGAAAACCTATAGTTTTAATACACATCTTCTTCAATCTGTGGCAAAGAAAGAAATGAATTTGAATCAACCATTGGAAATAAATCGGTCGGGTTAATCTTAAAATAATTATACTTAATGAGCTTTAATGATGGTGAATTAAAAACCATTAAAACATTTTGAAATCATTTCTTTATCCATTTCTGTAAAATACACTTTAATGTTTCTGAATAAAATAATTACATACTTGTGTGTTTCTATATATTATACAAATTGTTTCTTCATACGAAAAATAATAATGAAAAGTTTTTATTTACATTATCAAACTTTTTAAACATATCGTTAATTTGTGTAATTTTATGAAGATGATAAGAGTTTTGTGATTTAATGGGTTAATAATGTGTGCAGTTTACCAACTATAACTTTAATTTTCTGTGTTGCGTGTAATTAAAATACATATTTTAGAAATCTTAGTATTATAGAGATCGTGGTCGACAATAGTTAAATATACGTCAAGGTCAATACCATCGAAAGCTTTAAAATAATAATTAGTAATAATTTAAAATAGTTTGAAATGTCGTCATGAGCCAAACGCATCGATTTTTGTTTCTTATTAACTCAAATATTTTTGCATAATAAATTCTATGCAAAACTATGCTATTACTTTTAGTTTTCGGTGCGAAGCCTTGGGCGATTGATTTTGTTTAGAAAATATACTAGGAGTTTTATTAAAAAATTCATATTAAAGTAACTATAAATAAAATCACAGAGACAAAATAAAGTTCAGAAGTTTAGAAGAAATTTATATTTTGCTAGGAAAATTAATTTATATTTAACAGAATACAAAAACCATTTTGTTGAATCTGAACTTAATTTAGTTTTGTTTAATCTTTTATTTTTTATAATTTTTTTTGTTACTCGAGTAAACAGAGCTTGTATATTATGAAATAAACGTTAATATAGACAATAGAATACGACGTTAATAGAGACAATTGAAATGTGAATAGGAGGTAGACCCTTTTTTGGAAAAATGCTTGTTATATCTGCTTACAATGATTTTATTTATTACTAAATTTAACACCAATTGGAATCTAAGAAAAAGATTTGAAAATATTAATTTTGATCAAAGGTTGTCAACAACATACCGGGCTATAGGGTGCAATGGCATGTAAGATAGTATAGAAATGTCATCATTAGGATGAAAAAAGGAGTTAATAATCTTTTTAGCATTTGCAGATTTAGGGATAAAGACCGAGGAATCTTATGTTGACTGAACGTCATATTGCTACTGTATTCACTGTACTTGTGTCTGTAACTGAAATCTTTCCAGTATATTTAGTAGAAGTAATTCTACTGAATACACGACTTTATTCGATACTGTATATAGATGTAAACGCCCAATATTAACCTGTAGAAACAGTTGCCTATAGAAATGCTTTTGTTGAACGATTTCTGATTATTGATTTACTTATATGATAAAAATACTTAATAAGCACATAAAGCTGTAAAGTTATAATGAAAAATAAAGTTCTTATTCCCTTATTATAATATATTTAGAACAAGTTCGACATTTTATCTCATCAACAGTTGCATCTAATCAGTTCAAAAGTATAAATTAACAACAAAATAAAAAAGGTAACTGGATAATATAGATATTAAAATGTAAAAAAATTAAACGACACTCTTTGGAAGTAATCCTTATATTACTTATTATATTATTTATTATTATATTATTATCCTTTCATGATATCATTTACATTCTGTACATTAAAGAGGTATAGTTTGAAATTAATATCCAGTGGAGTAGAGACCCATCTATCAATTTGTTCAGGACCTTGTTTTAACCGCAATAGCTATAAAAATAATAAGTATAAATTGGTTACAAATTAAATTCACAATATAAAAACAAAATAACGCAATATTGCAATATTTCACAACCACATCATTTATTGTATCTTAGAAGCAATTGAAGGAACTGTGAGATGTATTCATTTATAATCGCATTATTGCAAAGTAATAAAGTGATTAATATTCCGATTAATATTGTAATTAAAGTTGTTTATTATTTAAAATGATGGCGTAAACAAACCAAATTTTATTAATACTCCGGTAAGCAGGCCAATAAAAGTTTAGACGAATTATTTTATTGTTTTATATACTTTAATTGGAATTAAAAAGACGTAAATAATAAAAATTTCATAACAGGCAATTTCTTTTAAAACAGGGAAGGGTCGACTTTTAACGTAACCGAAAATTTTTTGAATTAAAGGCCAACATTTTCTGAGTAACCTTATATTAGTCCAATTTAATGCATTTCATGGTTAAGATGAAATAATGAAATTGACGATGTAATAATTATTTGCCACAAGCAAGTAAAATGAATCACCACAGAGGCATTCATCCATTATGAATATTATTACGTATCTACATAAACGAAAGGCCGTCAGCTATAATTGACAGCTTCGCAATCATATTTCATTATTTCTATGAACATAATTACAATGCTCTTCAATGTTGTTAGCTGAATTTTCATGATGTTAAGAAGTACATAGATACTATTAACACAGTTCATAAAATACCTGCTTACACAATAAGTTTCGTACTGGCTTCAATCAAGAAATTAGTGAAATCGGCAATCGTCAATACAATATTGTATACAAAATCTTTGTGAAGATACTGATACATGGCTACAATATTCCAGCAGATTTAACATTGCATGATGCCATGAAGAAAACTGATTTTGTTCCTGCAGTAACTAAGACAAAAGTTCCTTTCTGGTTCTATACAGGAAAAAGATAAACGAGAACGACATGCGTAATAATGCGTAATTAATAACTAGCGAAAGCAACTTGTTAGATAGCATATAGATTTAATACTTAAATATCAGTCATTTTAGCAAGGTTGAAAACATAGGGAAAGTATACGTTAACTGTGACATGATCCTATTGCTTGTCTATTCGGAAAATTCCGTTTTGTGACACCAACAGGAACATGTCGAACTTGTTTTGCTCTAAGCTAACTGTACGTAAAACTAAAGCTAAAAGGATTTGTTACATAATATGTCACAAAATCAAAACACAGCAATCAAACGTTGGTGATTTTATTTGATTTACACAGAGTATGCCACTCTCGAAATTAACGGAGGGTTAATTATTTTAATGTAGAAAAATGGCCAAGTTGTATTGGCCATTTGTGATTGTACTAATGTGAAAATGTAAATGTTTCTCTCGGCTGAAGAAACAGCAAAAAGAGGAAGTGATATAAATTGTTCAATCCTCTTAAAATTTAGTATGATAAAGACTTAAACCTATAAAACATAAATAAGCCGCTAATGAGTTTATGGTTGCAACTGGAAAAGAAAAGCAGATTTAAGATTCAATTTCTTTTACGTGTGGGTGAGCTCAATTCAAAGCTATATCACGCCAATTTTCGTTTTCAAAGATATAAATGTTAAAATCAACCGTTATCGGTAGCTCTCTCCATCTTTCATAGGCGATATCCTTAGTTACTATAAAAAAATTATCTTGTGAATGAATGAAACACATTCTAAATAAAGAACTTGTTAATATGTGTATTTTTACAGATGGGCAACAAAAAGAGATTCTAATTTTATCATTCAAGATAACAATAATTAAGTCGAAAAGAAAATCGTAGTATGTGATAGGAAAATTAGTACTTTAATTATTAATTTTAACAATTAATTCTAAATAAAAATTAAAGAATTAATTACCCTGTTAATGTGATCATCAATAATAAAGGGCAATAAAAACAATCCTAAAAAAAATACAATTATTGTAATTAAAACACTGGCAATCGTTCAATATAAAAGTAATTTATTTTCAGATTTCAACGAGCAAAATCAAACAGAACACAAATCTGTAGTTAAACACTTTATAGACTTCATAAAAAAATACAATGCACATTTCGATACGATTTTCAAAAAATTCAATTGATACATATTCGACGATGCAACGCAATACAATTTTATATTATAATTAAGCCATTAATTTATGTTCCTTGCGGTGGAGATAACAAAAAAATACTTATTCATTTGATAATTTTATGTAGGTTGTGACTGGTTTTGATGAAAACACTTGTTAATGACGGTGACACCTAGCTAATTAAATTTCAGTATCACCTGATTAAAAATTATTAGTAATATTGAAATACTAGATTGATATAGTATACAAATGAGTAAATGAATTAGTGTAGCATAAACAATCCGCAAATACAAAACAAAAGATAATATTGTGGTTTTAAATTAACTCCAACACCTGGATCATTATCTTCTTCCTCATCTACTTCTTTCAGCTTGCTTAGAAAATCATTTTTCAGTTTTTCTACCAAATCATCAGGTAATTTAACACTCTAATTATAGATATAAAAATATAAAAAATATTAAAAAAGATAAAACAAAACTTGGTTAATTAATAATACCTCTTCAAACCAAAGAATCGGCATAATCATTGAGGTCACGTTTTGTGTTACAGCAATGTTTTGTATAGGTCGAACAACCATGTTGTATTGCATTCGTCTGTTTGCTTCTAATATCCATCCTGTAGTCTAAAAAATAAAATCTGTAGCGTAAGTTTGACAGGGTTAATATCATACTGGTTCGATCGTAATAGATGATCCATGTAATTCTTCAGTTGNAATCGTTGTAACACAATTACTTTTCCAAAAATTTTGCAATAAATATGAAGTAGTCTAAAAACCTCTTGATGATATATCATAATATGACGAAGTTTTACACTTCTCTTGTCCCCAATTTTAAATTTAACTTGATTTACTAACATTGTAACATGTCTTAAACGAATTATAATCAATTCAAACATGTACACAGGCGTAGCTACTCCTTCTATAAAGAAATTGAAAGTTGCAATACATAAAAACAATTCTTGTACAACCAAAAATCCTTCCAACCATGGTTGTAATTCATGCGGAATATAATAATTAAAAAACAAATAACACGTATGCGGATTGTTATTAAAACAGTTCTTCCTCAATAATAGTATATTCCAAAAAACTATATATGCGTATGGAACATAACGGGCATATTTGAAAGCCGTTTTAACGAAATTGTCAATAAAACGGAGCTCCGTTGGGATTCCAAAACGATTAAAATTGCTCAAATTATTCATTAGAATTATCAATTTTCCCCTTTCATTAGTATATGATAAAGCTATCAATAATACATTTGTGTGCATTAAAAATACAAAAATATCCAATAAATATGATGAGAAATCTAGTTGAGGATCTTAAAAAATATTAACGCATTTTAAAATATTATCATTGTTTTATAAAAACTTACCATTTAATTTTTGTATGATCGGATAAATAGTCCAAATTAGAAATAAAATAAGAAGTAAAATGAACGTATTTTTATTATGATTTTTATTAAGAAAACTTTCAATTTCAAGAAAACCTATAGTTTTAATATACATCTTCTTCTATCTGTGGCAACAAACGAAATGAATTTAAAACAACTATTGGAAATGAAACTATTGGAAACTATTCTTAATGTACTTTAACGATCGTGAATTAAACATTTTGAAATTACTTCTTTATCCATTTCTATGAAATACACTTTAATGATTCTGAATAAATGAATTAAATACTTGTATATGTTTCGATATACAAATTATTTCTTTATTCATTTTTATAATAAAAATGGTACCTAATTAAAGGGATGTGGTCTTTATTTATATTATCAAAAATTTTAAACCATATTGTTAGTTGCATAAATATTTCCAAGTATAACCTTAATTTGCTATGTTGCCTATAATGAAGATAAATAATTTATAAACTTTAGCATTGTTGAGATTACGATGCAAAATAGCTGGAAATTTGTCAAAGTCAATACGGTGGAAAGGTTTAGAATACTTCAATCACCTTAAAATCTAAAGTACTAAGTAGACAAAATTTCACGAAATGTGTTAATGCTGATTAGATTTATACAGTGCGCCTCAAATTGAAACTCCACCCCATGTAATTTGAAAATGGTTCGAGAAATTGTCATGAACCAAAACAGGTAGATTTTTGTTATTAGCCCGAAAAGTGTTATGGAAAAGTAGCTAAATTATAATGAATTAAATAAAAATAGCACAATAGATCATTTATATTGATTAATTAGTTTTTATTATATGAAAAAGTAAATATTTCAGATTAATTTAGCACGCACAACTTTTGAAGGATGTCAATATCCATATTCTAGACATTGTGAGATGAGAACGCGTTCAACTATGGAAGAGTTAGAAATAGTAGTAAAGGAGAAATGGAAGACCATCCTTTGAAAATAGATCAATCACAGAAATGATCAAATTTATGTATCCACGGGGAAGAAAAGTGTCGCTACATACATATACTAAAACAAGAATGGCACGAAGAAACTTCTCGAAAAGATTGACAAACCGCATATTTGGTGTCAATATATTACAAAAGAGATAGAAAAACTGTAATAATTGTAGAGGTATAACACTGCTAAGCACGACCATGAAAATTTTAGAACAAATAACAAACAAAAATATATAACCTGCAACATAACGGACACTAGATGAAACTCAAAATGGTTTTAGAACGGGCAGAAATATCTAGGACAATGTATTCACAATTAAACAAATGATAGATAAGAAACTACAAAAAGAAGGGACTTCTGGTGTCTAGGGATTATTCTGCAGATTACAAAAGTGATATATAATATTAATATTATTGTAGTAGTCTTTAAACACTTAAAGTGCAGTAATTTGTGGCAAAGGATAACCTGTACCAACTCAACCGAGAAGATAATAAGAAAAATTAAACAATTAGTAAAATCTACAGAAACTCCAGCAGAACGAAAGGGAAGTTTGTTTGTGCAGGCTCCAGTGACACCATGATTTATGGATATCAGTGTTCTAAAAAAATTTAAGGAATAACTTTAAAAATTTATTATAAGGTAAAAGTGGATAAGATTTACAAAATATGCTAAATATTTATGGTGCTTTTAACCATCATTTTAAATTTATCAATTATTTTGCTTTGATTCGATGCATTTATATCTTTTTTAATATTAATATTTTCAATAATTAATGCTTCTTTTGTGAAATTAAAGTAGAAATTGTTCTAAACCAAGCATAACACTTTTTAAGATCCTACAAAAGAATACTCTAATTTTATTAAATATCGTTTTATAAATGTTTTACCCCAGTCATTGTTGAATAGGATACGGTACCCAAAAACCCGAATTTGATGTTAAAAGTTCGTTGACTTAACAATAGAAAAATCAACACGTCCGTTTTAAGTTTAACATCCGCGTCATACCAATTCATATTATAAATAGCTTCAGCTAAAGAATCATTCTATAATTAAATCGATTAGTTTCTTTTTTGAAATAACTTATTTCATAATTACCGCATCAATAATAAATTGGCCAATTGTGTTACATATCGTCAATATTATTAAGCTTGCGATCAATAAGTAACCAGTGAAAATATCGTATTGCTTAAAAAGAATNTGTAGTCTAAAAAATAAAATCTGTAGCGTAAGTTTGACAGGGTTAATATCATACTGGTTCGATCGTAATAGATGATCCATGTAATTCTTCAGTTGGAGTTAATCCTATAATTTCATTTTCAACATCCGCATCAAGGAAATGAGGGAATGATGTTATAATTTTATAATCTTAAATATACAAGAAAAATAATTTATAAAATACCTAACTGAAAAGAATCTTACTCATGCATGTTAACATATCTCCAAATCCTGAACGGAAACAGTCATATTTTCCAGGAGGTTTTGTTGCGTTCATACAATAACACTCTTCATTATTTTCATTGGAGAATAGATTTGAATCAATCCTAGCAACATTAGAATCGATATCTTGAAAAGATGAATTATATTTTGTTTGAAATGTTTCAACTCTACATATATCTGGATTATAGACTTCAAATCTAGTTTCTTTATTATTAAACGGAGGATACAATAATCCATCTGTTCCACGTATTTTATTGCAAGTACTTTCTTCACCTTGCCAATTATTCAAATATTCTTCATTTTTCCATGTTTGAATTGATCCAATATCCTTTATATTTAAGTTTCCAGCTTTAATAGCATATGGACCGTCATAATTTCGAGTTTTCTAAAAATCATATTCATGTAATATAAGATTATTTTAGAGTCCGGTTCACAATCAGAAACGGCACTGCCAAGGAATGTAATGGTGTCCAATGTCCAATCGTCACATATCAGGCTTAGATAAAATTAAGATTACTATATACTGAGAAAATGGTGGTGAGTGAGTTGTGTGAATAGTGAGTTTTAATCCGTTGATTATTGTCGAGACCTAGAATTTTTCTAGAACTCAAGACTGTCCAAAGTCAAGACTGATCAAAAGAAAATTGCGATGAAGTTAATGATAATGGATCAAATTTTAATACAAGTTTTTATTGGAGATTAAATTACCATAGATAGTTACGTAACACCATGGAATACCTAATCGAAGAACTTTTAAACCGAAACTTCTATAATAAAATGCTTAAAGAGCTGGGACAAATTCATAAAATCAATCGACATATGATAATGAAAACTAGAAAGAATTTTAGCACCAAAAGGCCAGAAACAAGTTGGCATGGCAACAAGTGGTGAAAGAGGTACGACAAAAACAGTTGTTTGCGCATTTAGTGCTTCAAGAAAATACATTCCTCCATTTTTTATTTTTAAGAGGAAGAATGCTGATATGATAGCAGCCGTTATCGATTCGGGTTGGATCAACGCGAACCTATTTGTAGATTGGTTACACCACTTCATCTCCTATACTAAGCCAACTGTTGCAGAGCCAATTCTACTAATTCTGGACAATCATGAATGTCATGTTAGTCTTCCTTGTTATCTGCTTTGTCGCCAAAATGGAATAATATTGTTGTCCCTTCCACCGCACACATCGCATTGAATACGAAGTGGCATAACAGTGACGCCTGATGCGCAGATAGCCAGTAGATATAATTACCAATAGTTCTATGAAAGATATTAAAAAAAACAGGGAGAAAAATAAAGAGCACATGAAAGGTAGTGAAAAAAACTGTAAGTTCTACTAAAGGTAAGAAAGGTGAAGAATCTTGCGTTTGCAGATGGTAAGATTATTATAAGGTTCAAGAGAAGGATATACCACGCAAGAAAAAAAAATGCCAATGAAGGAGATGCGAAGGAGAAAGTGTATTATTGCCTAATTTGTGATGAAAAGTATGAGCATCCTCCAAGTGAAGACTGGATAAAATGCTGCAAATCTAATTTATGGGCCCACGAAAACTGTATGAGAGGTGAAAGTACATCTAGAGGATTTATTTGTGATACCTCACGTGCTGTGGGGTAATTACGGAGACCAAGGTTTTGTTTTTTATTAATATTTGATTTATATTGAAAATTTATCTGCGTTGTTTATGAGAACTTAAGATTTATTAGTTTAAGTAAAGTATCTGTACTAAGTAACATTCGTAACATTATCAGGTTTTTTTTAACTAATCACTAGAACTAACACTAGAGAGTTCGCTTCAGAAGTTCAACTTCGAACTTGTTTCTGAAGAAGGTTGCAACACGGCATCCGAAACGCCTGAAACATTTTTTCAAAAGATGCTTGGCTTAACCCGAAAGTTTCTAGTTCTAGGTCTAGTGTTAGTTCTAGTGATAGTGTTGGTTCTAGTTTTACTTTAATTAATACCGGCCGTGAAAGCCTTCGTACTTATTTTATAAGGTTTTGTTTTATTTCAATTTTCCCTTAAGTGCTCGCAATTACCCCACTCAACCCTAATGAAGCACACGATATATATGGAACAGTTCCACTCAACATACCTGTGAGTACACTAAATAAATCGGGAGCATAAATAGTACTGTTTGAAGCTTTACAAAGGTATTATATGGCAATAATAGCTGTTCAGGAAACAAATTAGTTAAAACAAGTTATTAGAGATATCAAAACACATACCGTGCTATACAGCTGTAAGGAAGCAGGAGTAAAATAACACGTTGTAGCATTTATTGTGGATAACAAAATCAAATCCAGTATTTTAGACTTCTACTCAGTAAGCACAAGAATATGTATTAAGTTAAAACACAGTTCTGGAGAGAAAGATTTAGAAACAAAAGAAAGGATCGACAAAATCAGCTAACAGAAATATTTGTTATCACACAGATTCAAGATTATTTAACCTCTACTGGTCAATAGAACCGTTCAACTGGCAACTAATTTTTAAATTATGAGCGAACTATGAAAGATGCAGAGAAAACATACAAAGCAATGAAACAACGGACGACCAAATTGAGCCTGTAAAAGTGTATAATCACTTCGGAGTAGAACTAACAAGTCTTGGCAGAGATTCGAAGGACAAATATATTAGCTAACAAAGCATAGTTTGCAAAGATATGTTCGAGAGAAAACTCTTGAATACAAATTATTTAGACTGCTTTACTGCGGAATATTGCTAGCTAGCGGAGGTGTCACAGAAGGTGAGGAGTCTATTGTGGATCTTTGACCAAGTTGTCACTAGAAAAGTTTTTGCTATGCGAATGCACAAATTCCGGAATATGTCGATATAATAATGTGCTTGTGAACTATAGGTATATTAAAAATGAAGAATCACGCTTTTAATTACTTTTCGTACACTGGATAACTGTTTTTGATGCCAATTCAATAATTTTCTTTGCTGTCGGCTGATACAGTTTAATTTCTACTTTGTTTACACCTATGTCATTTTTATCGAATAAAAACACACAATTAAACAAACTGAAAAGACGATATCTCTAACCATTTTCAAATTAGACAGGGGGATTACATATGACGCGTACTATATACAGGAGGTATCTAAATTGATGTAAAAGATTTTAAGGGGTGATTTTTCAACGAAAATTAACCAAAAATAACCACTTCCGCTCCAAGTTACAGCCCTCTAAAATTAGGGGAAAAAAATTGTTTTTCTGTAATAAATCCACTATGGACGAATTTGGAAGGATGAAATTTAGCAGATGAAAAAATCCACCCCTATAATACTTTGCATCAGAACTTTTTAATGCGTCCACATTTTTTTATGCAGAAACCTGATTTAAATAGAGGTATTCAATACGCAACTTTTTTGTCTCTTAACATTTTCTCTTAAAATCACTAGTTTGTCGATAAAAAATACTTAAACCTATTTAACATAAATTATTACTATATTAATAACAATTTTAACTTAAGTTTATATTGCTCCGATATCTATTCGATATAAATGTTTTCCATCGCATCATTATTAAAATACTTTTGATATTATATTTTTCATAGAAAGCTTTTCTATAGGATTGATGATACATAAAAGTGCACAACAAAAGACTGTGTCCCGCAGAAAAAAGACTGTCGTGATAAACATAGATAAGAACGTATTATTGTAGATTGTTCGCGTCTTTGTTTACGCTAGGATCATTGTTCACGTTAATCTAATTGTTGGATCTAATACACTAACGATATCGTTTAGAAACTATTTGGTCATTTTTTGTCAAAACAATATTTTATAGAGTACAGATTTAAACTGAAATCATCTATACAAAATTTTGAATGGATATTTAGACAAATTCCAGTTACACGCATATTGGATACACGACCTTGTCAGAATCAAAGTACTATTACAATTATTTCACTTAAAATTCAGAACTGGGTTGAATCATCAACTAGTCTATCCGGAATGTTTATGAAATATTGTGAACCGGACATTTAAAAATAATTTTGTTTCGTAAAAGTTAATATTTACATGTCCAAAAAATGAAAATGCAACCGTTTCATCATTGTGTATCAATATTGTATCTACTGATGCGTATTCATTTCGTATACTGTTACAAAGGGCTCTTGCTATCATGTATGTAACTCCAATTAAAGTAGTAGAATCACAAAATCGATATCCATTAAAAAGTAGGTCTTTTACTGATATTGTATGGAACAAGCTAGTTGTATCTTGAAATACTTTAGGCCACGTAGCATTTACTGTAAGGCTAGATGTTTCTTCTATACTTTGAAACAAATCCTTAAAATGAAAGGAGAAAATAAAATAAAAGAAACAACTTAGTTTCTAACATTAAGCTCTCTCACCTGCATTGGTACATTTAGAACAGTGATCATATCGTTCTCATTTAGTGGAGCTGAAGCTTCTGCGTCAAATTCATACCACATTTCTTCGTCGTATTCTAACGTATCAGCTTCCTCATTGTATGTTATGTTGTGTTTCTCTCTATATTTTCTATAGAAGGAGAAAAAATAAATTAATTAACAAGTTTATCAGTTTCAATGTCTGTATTATTAAGATTTAATTATAGTGTCATTTCTGATAGTTGTTATGTTTTTAAAATATGTTTGTGTAAATAAAATGACCTTGATATCGTTGGCTTTATCTTATAGTTATTTAATTATGTTTTCATTCATTATCACTTATTTAAATATTTAGAATAAAATGATCATATACAAAGTGATATCTTTTTTAGTTATTTTTGTCTTGACCGGTTTCGGTAATTAAATTACCATCTTCAGAAGACACCTACATATTAAAAGGTTTACACGTTAAAATAGAAAATTCCTTATTTAGTTTGTAACTTACGTTAAATTATTACTTAAAAGTTAAAATTTATCTTATAGGTTTAGAAAATTAGTACTGAGATTGATCGGCAAGGCGCTTAATAGGACGCTTTATTAAGGCTAAGCTTTCGGATTTATTATTTTATCCTTCATCAGAACATCATTTGTCTATAAGTATAAAAATCTAATGAAATGCTTTAAAATTAAAATTAAAAGAGGTTAACCTCTAAAACTTACGAAAATGAGCACAATTTTGATATAAACAAGTCCATTGCAGGATGGAAGCTCACAGTTGGTAATTAAACAAGAATCCAACAGAATTCACAATTAACATGAATAATATAAGACGAACAAGGTTGAATGTCAAGATAAGTTGACCAACTTATATTTGGATGGACTTATGCACTTTGACTATCGGAAGCTTGGCCCAATTAAAGGAGGTTTTGTGTTTTTTGTATTCCTTCCCCGTTTTAGTTGATTTCCCAATAATTTAAACTTACTTCTTAAAGTTGTACTATCAGTATTTTCACCTGTCTTCTATTTCTTCGAATATTAAGTAGGATATTTTCAAGCAATTCTGTTAGAGTATGTTCCTGAAAAATGCTGTACAGTTGACAACTGACAGTAATTATGGTTCCACTACATAATAGCCAAGAATCCTACCCCTAATATTATCAGAAAGCTTCTATTGACTATTTCATTCATAACGTTAACAGCCAATAAGAATTCGCGGTTTTCCGTCAATTGCGAGTATTTCAGCGGTTATTTGGCCGTAACCATGGAGAACGATAACACGAACCTTTGAATTATCGCTTGTTTGACTTTTTATTAATTTCGAGACATCTATGAATGTTTCCATAACAATTTATTAATAAATAACTAAAAAATATTAATATTCTAAAAATATGTATATTTTTTATTCATGAAATAGTCTAGCCATATACAACACGACAATCGAAAATACCCGAATCTCGACGTATTGCCTTAAAAAACACCACTCGACCTTCGGTCTCGTGGTGTTTCAGGCAATACATCTCGTATTATCGAGTATTTTCGATCGTCTTGTTGTATAATATATCATAATATGACCTGTGGAAAGCACAAAGATTTTCTTCACACCAAATGTGACGTCGTTAATTTTATTTGCTAAATTAAACTCTGTTGGAATAATCAGCTGGAATTAACATTTGCATTTTTGAATGTGAAACGGATTCATCTGGTATTTCTTCAATACTCTCCATATATGTATATGTGTGGCATGCTGTGCACACGACATGTAAAAAATCGTGTTGCCAAACAAAAATCGATTATTATTATTATATTCAAGTCATTCAAATTATTATTATATTTCATGAAATTATCTTAATCATTATCTTATATGGATACGTCAAAGACGTACAGACTGCAAATATACCTAGGATTTAGAAAGAACTTGGGAAAACTTAGGAAACACTGTGACATTACTTTTTAGGAAACCAGTATTGCAAACAGAAATTACAAATGTTGACCTAGAGTTGTACCATCCAACATTTAAACAACAATGCATAAATATCTTATACATGGTTCCAAAATAATGTCTTGTCACCTATTGAATAATGGAGTTAGTAGGTTACGGAGGTGTACAATAAAAATTTCAAAAGTATAATGAGATTAATTCAAGAAGATGCGGCAAGTCACAAGCCAATCAAGATACTTTCTGTTTTCTTTTTATAAATAGTGATCCGGTTGTATTGAAGAATTGTGGGATGTGTAGAAGTCTTTATTGTTGATATTGTATCGATTTAGATGTATTGATAAACGCTATCGATACAAAGATAGAAAGCGAACTAAACGAAGGAGATAAATTTCCTTATATTTCCTTTATTTTATATCCCTATATCTTTATATATAGATAAATCTATAGAAAGGATATAGATAAACCTATATCCTTTGATAAATGGGTTCAATTGTTAAAACTGTAATACATTTCCGGAGATTTGAATGAGTAATTTTCATATTGTGGATGCTCAGAATGAGAATGATAATCCTCTTTATTTTAGAGCTAAATAGTAGAAGTTAGCGATAATCACATCGCATCGTTTGACACGTGAATGGAAAAAACATCATATGTTATTAGTCACGTTTTTCAACTGTTCGGATTGACACTAATCGTATTGAATTTTGACAATCTTAAGAACAAAAACCATTCATAAGAAAATTCCATAAAAAACTAAAAGTATCGACGAGTGAGACCAGTTGACTGGATTTTGCGAAGACAAGTGAAATGTGAATAGGAGGTGTAGTACAACACCCTTAAAAATGCTAAAAAATGTAAAAATTTTTGTTATATCTGCTTAAAATGATTTTGTTTTGTTACTAAATTTAACACCAATTGGAATGTAAGAAAAGTTTTGAAAATATTAATTTTGATCAAAGATTGTCAACAAAATACCAGGTTATGGGGTGCAACAGCATGCAAGATAGTATAGAAATATCATCATTAGGATGATAAAAGGTATTAATAATCTTTTTGGCGTTTGCGGATATAGGGATAAAGTCCGAGGAACCTTATGTTGACTGAATATTTCATATTGCTACTGTATTTACTGTACTTTTGTCTGTAAAGAAGGGATATCGTTTCATTTGGACCCGTGATTGCAAGATTTTTGTCCGTAAATCAGAGGGCTCTCATGTAATACAAATAAAGACTGAGAAGGACCTTGCACGTATGTAAAGTATGTAAAGTAATACTCAATTGTCATTATACCAATTTGATTGTGACTTGTTGTACCGCAATGTACTCCTTAACTTTTTATTATCAGAATGTTCGGAGCATTCGGTGCAGGTTGCCGATTTTATACAATAACGCATTAAATTCCGATTTCGATGTAATTTGCTTAACGGAAACTTGGCTCCACCCCGGTATTTTTTCGGCCGAAACTCTCCCAAGTTCGTACACGGTTTATAGACGTGACCGAGTATCTGCTACTGTCGATTCCACTACTCGAGGTGGCGGAGTACTAGGCGTTTCGAGCTCACTTTATAGTTTCGAATCATGTGATTGGTTTCCGGGGGTGGAGGCGGTTTGCGTGACGCTGCACTTCGGCGTGGCTAAGTTGCATGTTTGTTGTATCTATATTGCGCCCAATGACGCTGCTGCTTTGTCTGCTTTTTCAGATAATTTGATGAATATTATCGATCAGCATCGCAATGATAAATTCATTATCTGTGGCGATTTCAACTTACCCGAGATTCGCTGGAGTAGAGATGATTCTTTGATTTCTCTTGTTCCTCACTGCAGTGGGTCTCGGACCGTGAATTTTCTGGATGCTGTTCATTGGGTGAGTTGGATCAACACAACCATTTTACAAATGCTTATGGGCATACGCTCGATCTAGTATTTAGTCGCCTCGTAACGTTAACGAAGCTCGAAAGATGTGATAATCCTCTGATGTTCGAGGAGACTGCTCATTCCACTCTTGATTTCTGTTGTGATGTGCCCCGAGAGAACAACCTTAATCCGCGCCCTGGCGTTGCTTACAATTTCTCTAGAGCGTCTTATGACGAAATCAATGGTTACCTCGACAGTTTAAACTGGTCCAAAATTTTGGACGACGTTTCGGTTGATGCTGTAGTAGATACGTTTTATTCTTACGTCTATGACGTTATAGACAGATATGTGCCGCGTAGGGGTTTACGGGTTACTGGTTATCCCGCTTGGTTCTCTCGGGACACAATTAACACATTACGTGAGAAAAGGAATGTACATAGAAGGTGGAAACGATACAAAAATCAACTTGACTACCCCACCTTTTCAATGCTGAGACATCGTTCTAAATGTCTTATAGCACGTGATCACAAAGATTATATGGTTCATGTTCAGGACTCTGTTGCTGCTGACGCTAAACAATTTTGGTCATATCTAAGACAAAGAAAGGGCGGTGTTGGCGTGCCGGCGGTTGTCCGACATAACGGTGTCTCCTCGGTGAATGGGGAGGAAGTTTGTGAGCTCTTTTCCGACTACTTCGGATCTGTGTTTGCCCCGCCGGTAATTACTGCATACCCCTCGGTTGGCTGTTTCGATTTATCCGAGGTTGAAGAGACTCTTTTTGGTGTGGCTGTTTCCAAGGGTCCGGGCTCAGATGATATACCTTCCATTTTTATTAAGAGATGCTCTAAATCTCTTGCTAGACCTCTATGTTTAATTTTTAATATGTCGCTACGTTACGGTATTTTTCCATCTGTGTGGAAACGGGCGAAAATTACGCCTATTTTTAAGTCCGGAGATCGTGGTCTTGTAACTAATTACCGTCCTATATCTATTTTACCAATAATGGGAAAAATCTTTGAAAAATTGGTTTACAGCAGGCTATTTTTTCAGATGAAGCCCTCTGTGAGTGCGGAGCAACACGGTTTTTATCCGGGGCGATCTGTGGACACCAACTTGTTAGAATATACCGACTTTCTTTTTTCGACTATTGATAAAAACATCCAAGTAGATGCGATATACACTGACTTTAGCAAAGCTTTTGACAAAGTGGATCACTGTTTATTACTGTTGAAGTTGGAGCGCGTTGGTGTCGCAGGTGTCCTTTTGAGCTGGTTTGCTTCGTACCTCTCCAATCGCACGCAGGTGGTTGGGGTTGGCGGATATTTGTCCGGTCCTGTTATCATGTCTTCCGGAGTGCC